ATCTCAGCTCATGATCTCAGGGTCATGATCTCAGGGCCGTGATCTCAGGGTCGTGGTCTCAGGGTCGTGATCTCAGGGTCAGGATCTCAGGGTCATGATATAAGGGTCATGATCTCAAGGTCAGGAGATGAGCCTCGAGTTGGGGTCCATGCTCAGTAAGGTGGCTGCTTGAGATTCTCTCTCTCTCCCTCCCCTTTGCCCCTTCCCACTTGCATGCTCTCCCTCTAAAATAAATAAATCTTAAAAAAAAAACACAACTGATTTTGTGTATTAATTTTGTATCCTGCACCTTTCTTAAATTATTTCATTAGCTGTGACAGTTTTTAGTGGCATCTTCAGGATTTTCTATATAGACAGTCCCTGACTTATGATGGTTTGACTTACAATTATTTGACTTTACAGTGGTGTGAGAGCAACATACACTGGGTAGAAACCATACTTGGAGTTTTGATCTTCCCCAGCTTAGTCTGTGCTTGGGTCCTGCTTGCGATGCTGGGCAGTGGTGGCTCCCAGGCAGCCACGTGATCAGGAAGGTCAACAACAGAGACACTTGAAACCATTCTGCACCCAGTCAACCATCCTGTTTTTCACTTTTCATACAGTATTCAATAAGTCAGATATCAGCATTTAAAATAGTCTTTGAGGGAGCCGATTCTGCCCAGCTGTAGGCTCGTGTCAGTGCTCTGAGCACGTTTAAGGTCAGCTGGGTTAGGTGTGGTGTTTGGTAGCTGAAGAGTGTATTAAATGCATTTTCTACTTACGATACTTTGAACTTATGGTGGGTTTATCAAGATGTGACCCCATCATAAGTCATGGAAGGTGTCTATGTAATACCACGCCCGTTATCTTCTAGAGACGGTTTCACTTCTCCCTTTCTGATTTGGATGCCTTTGGTTTCTTTTCTGAAATTTTCTTTCATCGGGGACACTGGCCTGTAATCTTCTCTCACGGTGTCCTTGCCTGCTGTCAGCGTAATGCTGCACTAGCAAAACGTGTTTGGAAGAACTCCCTCCTCTTAATTATTTGGAAGATTTTGAGAAGGATCAGCATTAATTCTTTAAACATCCAAGAGAATCTGCTTCTGAAGCCCTCTGGTCCTGGGACCTTCTCTGCTGGGAGGTTCACAATTACTGAACCGATCTTCTTGCTAGTGATTCATCTGTTCAGACTTTCTATTTCTCTATGACTCAGTCTTGGGGGGTTGTACGTTTCTAGGGATTTACACGTGTCTCCAGGCTGTCCAACTTGTTGGTGCGCACTTGCTCACAGCGGTCTCCTACGACCCACTGTATCTCTGTGCCATCAGTCACAAGCACATGGACATTCAGAGCAACTTCATTCATCATTGCCAACAACTAACAGAAGAAGCAGAGATATTTGTAACTATGTAGACACCTTCAGTGATACAATTGTGAGTTTGACCAAATTAACTGATATAGAACCCGACACCCAATAACAGAAATGTACCTGCTTTCGCCAGAACATTTTTTTTTAATTTTACAAAAATTAACCATACAAGATAGTTATAGAAACCTCGGGAGAGAGAGGGAGGGAGGGACAAAGATCGGTGGGCACAGGGGAAGGGACCTTGAGGCACTGTGACGATTCCGCGTGGTACGTGCCTGTTACTATTCACCTGCCAAGACCCGCAGAATGTCCAGCACAAAGAGTGAAGGCGAATGTGCGCTGTGGACTTCAGCCGTCGTAACGTATCGCCGCGTCACCAGCGGGAACACACGCAGCATCCAGGCACCATGTTTATAAGGGGGGCAGGCGGCGGGAGGGGTAACCGGAAACTATACTTTTCCATCAACTTTTCTGTAAACTTTAAAACTGCCCTTTTTTAAAGAAAAATGTATTAATTGACCATATGCTGAGCCGAAAGCAATCTTCAAAAAAGATGGTAAGTAAGCATGGTAATGTCTTTAGAAGCAAATTTTTCAGAGCAATCCTGACCACCCCCCGTCCAGCAGAATGGCTTTTCCAGCGGTTGTCACTGTCTGATGTAGCTCAGGTACACAGTGAGACTCAGCCACAGCTTAGCAGCTACTAAATACACCAAAAATAAGAGAATGAAGGATTCAGACAACACAGAGCGTGCTGGGCATTTAAGTGGCAAGAGGTCCGGTCAGCCAGGAGCCTGTCTGGTGATGGAGAAGAGGGAGACAGCAGAAGGAAGTAGCGCAGGCCAAACCTTCCCCGAGCTTCTGCGCGGACTAGATCTCCTGTGGTTATTCCAGGTCAATGGCTGGGCCACCAACCAAGGAGACATTGTGGGGATATAAGGCATGCAGATGTGTGCTGCACCTGCCTCCATGACATCCTTCCTGAACGGCCAGCAGGTGCCCTCTGTATGGGGGATCTGAAGGTCCGCCTGGTGGGGCAGGATTTGGGCATCCTAAGCAGCACTCGGGAGGAGGTGGGTGCAGGGGGCTGGGTTCTAGGTATCCCATCAAGAGGCCACAACCCAGTAGATCTGTGTGCAAACCGCCCCACGTCCCTGCACCGCCAATGCAGCTCCTTATGTGAAATATGCTATTCGTTAGCAAAGTTTGGAAAGAAACCGCTGAAGCATCCCGAGGGCTAGAGCATGAGAAGCAGCCCCTGTGCTGTGAGACGGGGACTCTCAGGTCTCCACGGGTGGAGTGCAGTTTTCTGGGTGGCCAGCAGGTGGCGGCCCCTGACCAAAAACGGTGCATCTCCCTGCCCTTCCCGGGATTTGTGGCTGGTTTTCCACCGTCAGCCCAGCGGGCCGCCGTGAAGGCTGTTACCTGGTCCTGCCCACCCCCCGCGGGCCCACCCCTGCCTCCAGGCCTCCTCTGAGCTGCTGAAGGGGCGTGGTTACCTGGCCGGTCTGAAAGCGGCCTTGGTGGGAGGTTTAGACCTCCCAACCGCCCGCCCAGCCCCAGAGCAGCACCCGCCCCAGGCTGCCACGGAGGAGGGCTACACCTTAACCCCCTCCCCCCCCAGATGCCCACCTGCAGCCCAGGCCAGGACACTGCTCCGGGCCAGCTTGTTTCAGGGTCCAATCTTCGAATTTTTTTAAGTTTTTACTTTAACCCCCAGGTGCTCAACACAGGTGCGCACCTTCGTCCCCATCATCTGCCCCCCTGCCCCCCTGCCCCCCTGCGTCCCTCCCCTCTGGTGGCCCGCCGCGTGTTCACCGGAGCTGAGGGTCTGTTTCTTGGTTTGCCTCTCTCGCTCTCTTCCCTTTTCTTGTTTGTTTCTTAAATTTCACAGAGGAGTGAAATCCTGTGGTAGTTGTCTTTCTCTGACTGACCTGCTTCACAGCGTAACACCCGCCGGCTCCGTCCGTGTCGTGACAAAGGGCAAGGCTTCACTCTTCGTGGCTGCGTACCACTCCACTGTGTGCATCCATCCAGGCCGTGTTTTGAAAGCCAGTCTCATCCACACCTGTGCTCGGTCACCACCTGCTCTACGGCGGCACCCCTGGGTGATCAGATGCCCCCCATTCAGTACGTCCATAGCACACCACCCCCCCCGAGCCCCCGCACCTCCATCCAAGCCTGAGTCCCGGAGGCAGGACATTATCTGACTGCTCCTATCGGCCTCAGGGTGCCTGTGGACTCAGCCCACTTCTCTCTGTGTCGCCTATCACCCCTGCCTGCTCCGCCAGGCCTGGGGGGACGCCCAGGAGGAAGTGCCCCCAAGCCCCCTGACCACAGCGGTCTGTCAGGACGCGTCCCTGAGTGCGCTCCATGATTACTCCCGCTCTTCTACCCAAGACCAAACTCCCCAGTGTAGCTGCTCCCCCCCCACCTCGGAGTCCCTGGACCCTGCTGGCCCCCTGCTGCTGTCCGCCAATGTGCCATGCTCCTTCAGACGGCTGTAAGCCCCCACCCCAGCCCCTTGGCGGAGTTAACACCCACTCACCCTCCAGACCATGGCCTCCTGTCCGCACCAAGCTGTCCCCAGCACCCGCCTGTGCCTGGCCTCAGCCCAGACCCTTCTTATCCTCACCAACTCTTGCCACCCACATTCGATCTGGGCCAGGACACACCTGTGGGTGAGACCTGCCCTTCTGAACGCACAAGCAGGGCAAACGCGAGGCTCCAGTGTAGACAGACGCATTAGCCTCCCCTCCCCCAGCCCCCAGTCTCGCACCTGCCATCCTCCCGACTCCACCACAGAGGCCCTGCCTGGCAAGGAGAAACCCAGAATGTTCCCTCTCTGACCTTGGACAAGTGTAAACCGTATACTTGAAAGACCAGAAAACAGAAACAAGAGGTTTACCCTAAAAAGGAAGTTTTTGTCCTCAAACTCCAATCCCAGCGGTACATCACTACGACTTGGGGGAGCAGGACGCAGGAATCCCGGGAAAGTGGGGGGGGGCTGGAGGCCCAGGGAGGTCCCCGATGGCGCCTCCAGGCCTGGCGCCTGAGTGGGCGGTTTGCGGACCGGGGTGTGCAGCTGTGCTCGGGCTCTGAGAGGGCCCCACCCCAGGCTGCAGGCCCAGGCCTCCGGCAGAGGACCCCAGGCATGCGCTGGGCACCTGCCCCAGCCTGCGCAGCACAGTGTCCCCGGCTGTGCTGCGCGCTCCCCGGTCTGGCCCCCGCCAGAGGAACGGAAGACAGGATGGACGAGGCAGGGCCCACCCGAGGCGCGAGCGCTCTGTGGTGGCAACCCCGAGGTGGCAGGAGACCGCCTGAGATGCCGAGAAGCCGGAAAAACCGCAGCCGCCCTCTCCACCCAGACCACCAGCTCCCTCCATCCGAGCGGTCCCCACCCCGTGGGTCTCCGCCGCCGCTGGGGCCAGGCTCGGAAAAGAGGCGGCCACCAAGTCCCTTCTGATTGGATGGCCGCGAAGTCCCAGCGGGCGCCCCCGCACCTTAAAACGAGCGGAGCGTGCGGAGCTCGAGCCTGTCCCCGGGCCAGCCCTGCACGCGGCGGCGAGGGGCGGGGGAGGAGAGCGGGACGGAGAGACGGGGGACGGGAGGACGAGGACGGGGCGAAGAGGAGGAGGCGGCGATCCGGAGGCGGCCAGAGAGGCCCGGAGCGCGGAGGCTCAGGGACCGACCGACAGCCGGACGGACGCGCGGGCCCGGAGCTGCACCGCGGCGGACGCGGGGCCATGGCCGAGCTCAAGTCGCTGTCGGGGGACGCGTACCTGGCGCTGAGCCACGGCTACGCGGCGGCGACCGCGGGCCTGGCCTACGGGGCGGCGCGGGGGCCCGAGGCGGCCCGCGGCTACGGCGCGCCGGGTCCGGGCGGCGACCTCCCTGCGGCGCCCGCGCCCCACCCCGCGGCCGGGGCCGAGAGCAGCGGCGAGCAGAGCGGCGACGAGGACGACGCCTTCGAGCAGCGGCGGCGGCGGCGGCGGCGGCGGGGACCCGGGGGCGCGGCGGACGCGCGGCGGCGGCCCCGGGAGCAGCGCTCGCTGCGGCTGAGCATCAACGCGCGGGAGCGGCGGCGGATGCACGACCTGAACGACGCCCTGGACGGGCTGCGCGCCGTCCTCCCCTACGCGCACAGCCCGTCGGTGCGCAAGCTCTCCAAGATCGCCACGCTGCTGCTCGCCAAGAACTACATCCTCATGCAGGCTCAGGCCCTGGACGAGATGCGGCGCCTCGTGGCTTACCTCAACCAGGGCCAGGGCCTGGCGGCGCCGGTGACCGCTGCGCCCCTGACGCCCTTCGGCCAGGCCGCTGTATACCCATTCTCCGCGGGCGCCCCGCTGCCCTGCCCTGACAAGTGCGCCGCCTTCTCGGGGACGCCCTCGGCGCTGTGCAAACACTGCAACGAGAAGCCATGAGGGCCCGGGCTGCTCCTCCTCCCGCACCAGTCCTGCGTTTTATCTTGTGCCACCCCGCCCCGACTGAACCCCGCCCACCGGGAGAAGGCTGCCGGACGTCGCTTCCAACCCCCGCCCGCTGAACAGCGGGGGTAGGGCCGCCAGAAGCTCGGGGAGCACGTCTGGGCACGGGTTTGAGCCTGAGAGCCGGGCACTGGCATCTGCGCCCTGGAGGCCGCAGCGTGCCCACTGGGCAACCTCCGACAGGGGACAAACCCTGCTTGTCTGGGCACCGCCGCTCACCCTGAAAAAGAAAACCAGGACCACGGCGGGAGCGGGGACCGGGGTGACCTCGGGGGGAGTGGTCCTGCTGGTCGCCAGCCCGGTTCTCGCCCAGCGCAGGGAGAGCGCTTAGCTGGGCTTGGCGGCTCCCGGCCCTCGCGTTGGGTTCTCCCCGGACTGCAGGTCCGGCTCCTGCTGGGTGTGCTCCCACTGACGGGCGGCGCCAGGGTAGTTTGTCTCTGAGGCTCAGCGGCCTCAGCCCCCTGCAGCCCAGCCCACGACTGTTTGCTAAGCAGCTGGACTGCCCTAGATGCTGGAAGACCCTGGGGCAGTAGCTGAAGTCGGAGTGTGTTATGTTTAGTTTCTTGCCTGCCTAGAGGCACGAGCCTCTGGGTGTGAGTGGATGCCAACACTGGCTGCCTCCAAGTCTGCGGAATCTGTCCCCTAAACCATCCCTGGACTCCCCGGCCACCACCGCTCATGCTGGAATGTCCCCGCCAGGGTGTGGCCTGCGCGGAGTTGGATGGACACCTGCCGTGTGTCCTCCGCTCACAGGCAGTTGTACAGAGGACAGTCCCCACACTTGGCCTGGGCTATCAGGGAAGGACCGGGTCTAGCCCCGCTGACCTCCACACCAGCCCCCTGCGTGTTTCCAGGGGAGGAGGCCGGGCCATGGGTGAGTAGGCTGGTGGGAGGGACTGCTTCCCTGACCTGGGGAAAGGTGATGGGTTTGTCTCTTGGTGTTGGGGTCTGTCTCTTTGATGAGGGTGCACGGCGCAGAATTCTGCCGCCGTAGGGGTCCACACGCTCTGCTCAGCCGGCCAGCTACCCTGGGGACCAGGCTGTCCCAGTGCATTTGCCCCCCAGCCACCCTGCTGCAGTATCTGGCCTCAGTAACCCAGTTTCCTGGGCTGGCTGCTGCTGTCGCTGTGCTAATGAGGAGAGGACCTCCGCCCTACAGAGAGGCCTGTCTGAAGCATTTAACTTTAATTAATGCATTTCAAAAGGCCCTTTTGTATCTGCAAAATGAAGTGTGTGATTAAGCTTTATTCATAAAGACATACGCTTAATACTGGTTTTTGTTAACTTCCATATTTATTTCTTCACTGTCTTCTTTTCCCTAACACACTACGTTATCGGTTTTGCACATTCAGAAAGCTGGGAACTGCTTCGAATCCTTTTTAGGTAAGCAAAGGCAGGACAGCTGCAAACTCCAACGCCGTTTACTTCCAGGACCATTTCAAAGTGCTCCTGAGTCAGCTTTGTGAATTACTGGTCATAATCTGACACGGCGCTGCTCCTCCTGGTTGAAGCAGGCACCTCTGGTGCATCGTTTCTATTTAGAATGAAGTTACAGTTTAACTTAGTTTTTAAAATAATGTGATTCAATTTTTTTAAAGATTTTATTTATTTATTTGCCAGAGAGAGAGAGCACAAACAGAGGAAATGGCAGGCAGAGGGAGAGAGAGAAGCAGGCTCCCCGCTGAGCAGAGCCCATGCGGGGCTCGACCCCAGGACCCTGGGACCATGACCTGAGCTGAAGGCAGAGGCTTAACCCTCTGAGCCACGCAGGCGCCCCAGAAGGTGATTAAGTTTTAATACCACATTAAACACGGTCACTCGTGACTGAGGTTAGGTTTTCAGAGACCCGTGCCAGTCTGCACCAGGCGCTTCTCGGTCAGAGTCTAGAAAGTCTGTGGGGGCGGCGGACGGCTGCTGTGTGAGCAACCCCTCAGTAGATGTATAAAATAGGAAGAAAACAGGGGAAGGAAAAAAAAAATCTCTGCCCCCCCTTGAATGAAAAACATCGTTTTTAAAAGGACCATCTAACTAATCATACGTTCTTCCATTTACTCAGTTTTCGAGAAAATGAAATGTATTTCTTTTTGGCTGCTCAGCCACGTGCTACATGGTCCGTTGTTCTCTCCAGAACGTCAGGCCGCCTCTCGCGGCGTGGAGCAGAGGGTCGTTCCGTACGTGAAATTAGGCTTTTCAACAAGGCTAACATAGCAACCTGCTCTAGCAAATACAAGTCATTTGGCCTCCCCCATTCTAAGAGCTCCCAGCAGAAAAGGTCTGGTCCTCCACGGCCCCTGTGCCCAAAATACAGTGAAGCAGCCTCCCCGCTGGCAAGCCCACCACTGTCTGGAAACATCCGAGGGGGGCTCTGGGCAGGCACTCCCAGAACGGCTCGGGCATCTAACCCCCCAGAGCCGACCCTTCTCCAGCGCTGGAGAGTTAAACAGGAGAGGGCCTTGCTTATAACCGTGTTTGAAACAGCCTTTACCCAGGTGCTTGTTTTTAGAACGGTCTGAGGGCGAGGAAAGGCGTACCTGCTGTTAGGTCCGGATGTGGTGTGAGGGAGTGTCGCTGAAAGCCGGGGCCGGCCACACAGAGAGCCGGCCACACGGGAAATGGTAGCTTTTCTACTGGCTACGTAAGAGTAAATACATGAAATTAATTGTAATGACTTATTTATTCCTGTGCATGCAAAAGAGTGTTTCAAAACACAGTCAGTATCTTTTAATTATTAGGGGATATTGCACGTTCCTTTTTCTCACACTGAGTCTCCAAAACCCGGTGTGTCTTGCACTCAGAGCTGCTCTCCGTTCAGACCAGCCCCGTGTTGAGTATCAGCAGCCGCACAGGCTCGTGACGCCCACAGTGGACCCTGCGGCCTGAGGCAAAGCTGTGAGGGACCTTTGTTTTCTTCATGCTCATAATAAGCAGGAAATGACCGCTGATTCAAGGAATAAATTCTAGAGCGAGACACACAGGAAATGCTTCATCCTTGTTACTCTTCCAAGCCTGGGTCACCACGGCCAGCTGAGGCCAGGGCAGGGGACAAGAAAAGCTGTGGTCCGTTTTCTCCCACAAAGTGGTGGCCGTTTGTCTACAGAGTCACCCTTTCCAGCTGCCTTCCAGCAGCACGCTGGCCACCCATGCCCGAGCCCGGGGAGCCAGCAACACGATGACATTCCAGCCGAGGGGGTGTCAGGACGCCAACATTGCCTTCTCCCTCCATTAACCACGCCGTTGGGGGCCGCTGGCTGCTGCTGGAGCCACTCAAAGACCGAGGTTCATTCAAAATCAGGCTGTGAGCCCGTGGAGCACGACTCATGGGGGCTTGGGGCAGGCTTCCCTGACCCAGTGGCCCCCCAGGGGGCCCTTGCTGGGGTGAGGAGAGGCTGGCTGGTGGGCTGAGGTCCTGCACCCCTGCCTGCATTCCCTGACTGGCGCCTCCACGGCCCATGCGGGTGTGAACACGCCCAGCTTCCCCGGCGGAGAGAGAAGGTACACGGGTTGGAAGACGGAAGTGGGGAGTCTTAGGGTTAAGCTAATGATTGAGCATTTCACGACAGACGCCGCCTCCTCTTCTTTCCTTTCTTTAGAATGACCAACAGCAGACAAAGTTCTCCATCTCCTTTGGGTATTTTGGTGGGAACATTTTTACCTACTTGGTGAGATGCCACAGCCCCAGCACTTTCTGTTCCTGTGGGGCTCAGGACATCTGCCACCCAAAGATCTTTGTTTCCCTCCAGGTAGGAAACTCACTCACCTAAAACAGCATCCCTGGTTCTCAGTACTGGGTAACAACATCCACACTCGGGGAGCAGAACTCCATCCTCACCTAGTTCTGCCCCAAGGGACCCGGAGCTCGGACAGGCAAGGGCCGTTGGCCCCCACGGGTCCGCTCGTAGACCCTCGTGTGCCAGGCGTGTTGGCTTCTTGGTTGATTTCATCCCAAACCTGGGTTTGTCTTCATTTGGTTGATGTCAGTCAGATCCGCGGGGAGCTCAGTTTATCCTTACGAGTAAGCTCCTAAGTGTTCCGGGGCAGACACCTGCTTTGTCAAATATGCATGTCTGTTTCCCTTGCAGGTTGGGACATTAAAAGAAGAGGCACCTCCTCCCAGAGGACAAATGTTGTTTTCCTAAAAGGATGCGTGAGATGCACAGAGTGTCGTTCCGAGCGGCACGGCCTGTCTTGCCTCACCCTTGGCAGAGAGAAGTCTGATGAGAGTGACCAGGCGGGACCCCAGAGCCCCGGTTAATCCCGCAGACAGTGATTACAGCAATTTTATCATAGGAATTTGTCTGTGATATGTCCTGAGTCTTTAATCGCTCTTGGCATCCCATTTTAAGGGATGGAAACAGAGGGATTTACAATGTATTAAATCATTTCTCCAACAATTAATTACCTCTTTGGATCATAACCCTGGATGTTATGTTCTATACCCAAACAAAAGTCAGTTCCATCCCATTAGAAAATTAATACACATAAATTAATACACATTGGCAAATTTAACTCCAAAGGAGCTAAATTTACCATAAAAGGCTCTGATTGTTAGCAAAATCTCCTTTGAGGCCAGTGTCTTCCCGTGTTATAGAATGAGTCTGAAGTGCCCAGGCATGTGTACGGAGAAGAGGGAAGAGAAGCTGTGATCTGTGAGGCTCTCTGAGTAGGAGGCGAGCTGGGTTATTTTGAAAGTGAGCATAGGGCGGGAGCTTGTGAAATGCGGGGCTAGAAGGGGGTCTTGGAATAAGGCCGTGTCTGTGCATCTGCGGCTGGCTGTGTGGGCTCCCCGGGCTGGTGCCGGTCAGGAGGCCGAGGGCCGTCGCTCCGTGGTTCCCGTGGCCGCTGCGGTCTGCGTTCCCAGGAGACACGGCTGTCAAAACGCAGAGCGGAACTGGATGCGGGCCTGGCCGGCGGCCTCTGTCTTCCATGACGCTCAGGCCTCATGGGGGTGCCCAGCTGACAGGGCCCG